TATTAACATATAACGTATTTATGGAAGAAATTTCCAATAAATTAATATTAAACACTCTCCACTGACAGCTTCTACGTTAAAAAAAATACACAGCTGTATTCGGACTGCTTGCTGGCTCAACGCGTCAAAACCCAGTACTGTGACTGATACCCTCGCATGGCTTTGAGCAATGCGTATCTGGTCGAGGGGTTACGATATTCAACGTGAGGCAGGGGGGATGGGCGAATAGACGCCATGCCCGGATACCCTCCCTCGCTCAAAGAGTTGGGACAGAGGAAATTCTCCCCGGCCTACGCCTTGAGACAAGCGACCCCAAGGTCGAATTCTATGCTGACAGCTGAAACACCTCACTTTCAATGTCACTACTAAATCGCGTGTCACAGGGATAGCGAATTTAAAACAAGCTTGCAGATGCATTCACTTCATTAAGAACATCTCGTGTCTCTCTGCCAATTGCATTAAATTCAAAGGAATTCCTTTTTATAAGGATTTATTCCCTAGCAGTACATGAAAAAACATTCCGTTACTGCGTTGGAGAGGTTTCGTTTTATGATGTATAAAATGTCATTTAACTTCACAGGTAGGATGAATTTTCCGACTGAGGTAGGTTTCCGGCTTGTAAAGGTTCCGATTTAGACAGATTTTACTATACTTGGAACCTAACAGGATCAGTGACACCCGCATTTCGTCGTACGGTGATAGAAATAGGGTCGTTTTTGTAGGACACCTTTCTACTAGAACATGCGAGGCATTAGGAAACACGTTATACGAAATCTAGCGCAAAAGAAATTGCACGTCGCAAGCTATTGCTGATGCTGCAATAATATATGACGCGTAAATGATGTCGAAGGTAATGAGTTGTGAATTAATTTATTAATTGCATAGTGATTCCAGGCGCGTCAACCGCTGTCATTCGTGCCCTAAGTGTACTGAATATTTTTGCCTCGGAGATGATCTTCCCCCGCTGGATGGTGGAATTTCAATCAACCCAACAAAAAATGAACATAAATTACTGGATGATAATTGTTTGTCATGCTGTCTTGCTTTTATTTTTAAGCTCTGTACTTTATTTACGAACTGCCAACAAAGTAATAGTGATATGCAATGAGATTAGGGGGGTCCTGCATATTTTTGATTTTGCTTACCGAAGATTTCAACTAGACTAGAGTAAGAACAAAATAAAACTCATTCTTCAAAGAATTATATGTAAGTTTATTCAGGGAAATTCATTGACAAAAGGATTATCAAATTTATTATCAAAAAATCTTGTTTGGAATCTTAAGCTTGAAAGTGGAATTAGACACGTTATTCAATTCAATTACGTGCCTCCTATGCATAAGCTACCCTTCAACACACATTCAAGGAGAAATAAATTTAACATAAAAATTAATTGGCTTTGCCTTAAGACTTTGGTTACCTGACACAGAAGCCAATGAGAACTACAGTGAGCGTCACAAGTATTCAAACACATCGAAAATTTCGGAAAATAAATAAATCGTAGGTGAAAAATAAAATAAAAAATTTCACTCGCATTGCAGTGCATATTTTATAATTAATATCAGCAAAGAATTATTTTGCACAACTCATTGGGAAGTTTAAAATGATGAATACAAAAATTAGTTCACAAGAAAAGGAAGCCAAAAGTATTGGAACAGCCACGTGATCTGAGGTAAAAAATTAATTTACCTGTAACAGTAAAAAAGTTAATATTTTTTTGGATATTCCTTTTGTATTTATAATGGTTTCTAGACGTCTCAGCATTGATTCAATGAGCTCTACGATCTTAGGTGTATTAAAAAGGATTCCAATTCTGTGTTCCAAGCTCTGTGGTACACTGTGCTGTGCCACATTGTCTGGCTGAAACATGAAATGGTTATTGAGGCTCATTTTTTCAGTACCTTTGTGTAGTTCACTTTTCAAAATATTGATGTATATTGGATGGTCCACTGTACCGCTTCAAAAGTGTAGATTCCTCACACCAGAAGCACTCGTACAGTCCCAGACGAGTACGTATGCACCTCTATATTTCATTGTGGGCTGGAGCTTTTCTTCCTCCACACCATACATCTCCCATCTACACCAAAACTATTAATTTACTTTCACAGATAAAAATAAACAAGGTGAAGACCAATCCACAGACAGCTGTGGCTGCAGGGCCAGACTAGCCATTAGTGTTCGTGAGTCTGTGTGTTCGAATACTTTTGGTTTCCGCTTTCAGCAAGATATTTCACTTCAAATTTCTGGTTTATCAATTCCTTGAACTTGCTTTTGTGAAGTGCTTTTTAATACAGCAATTTTATTGTATGTATTGTAAATAATTCTGCTGAAAATATATCCTTAATACTTCTTATTTTTATGTAAAATTTGTTCATATTGTCAGATTTCCATGAGATGTTCCAATAATTTTGACACTCACTGTATATAGTTGGGAAAGGGTTGTCATGTAGTCCATCCAATAACACACTACTGCTTGCTGATGCACTCACCAAATCCTATATATCGTATGTCACCTTCTCACTGGCTAGGTTCTTGTGCTTCAACCACATTGAGTTTCCACCATGACATCCTCTCTGTATATTTTATTGTACGAAAAATACACGGCTCTAATAATGTAGTCAGTGAAAGTAATATTGAATTTCATCAAACAGTAGTTCCAATAATATTGAGAATGTTAGCCATTTTTTAGAAAATTCTTGCACTGTATTCATCAATAAAAACAAAAATGCAAACAACAAAAACAATTTTAGATAGTATCTCATTTTAGTTTCCCATTATGATAAACCTATTTCACTTCTATTTTTGAGAATGTATTTTACAAATCTGTTTCACATGACTATTTTGATGATCACATATCAGAATTACTGTGCCATTACATTTGTGCACTTGGATAGACAGGTTGGTCACATCTTTGTCTGCTTCACATGTTATGCTAAAGCACAACGCTGTGTCATACTCCTCAGTTCTAGAGAAAATTCTATCTCAATGCCAGCCTTCGATCTCACTCCCCAATAATCCCCACTGAACCGCATCAACAAAATTTGGGAATAATATAAAGAAGAGTAAAGGGAGTTCAGAAATAGCTTAACCTACAAAAATATTGCAAATATTTTTCACTACACTGATATTACTTACTGGTCTGACAAGCCATGGTCCAGTCAAATTATTTGTACTTCTTACGGACATTTCATCTACACCTGCAGCAGACACCCTCGGAGACAATGGGACAAAGACCAAGTTCCTCCTGGTCAGCTCCTGGCTAACTAGCAACTCCAGTGGGCTTCTCGTAATGTTTGCTGTGTTGGCTGCTGCAGATTAAATGTCTAACAAGTATGAGTAAATTAACTTCATCATGACCTTTAAACCTAGTAAACAAAATCAATATTGGCACCAGGCATGAATTCATATTTTAATATCCATTATATTGAAGAATTTCATGCAATTTGGTCAATAATTTGCCAATTCTTAGGGAGCTTGGTCTACATTTACTGAAGAAAAGTTCACATACTGTAAAATTAATGCTGAAGGAAAAAACAAAGATACAGAATAACAGGTTTTTGGACTAAGAATAGTAATGAATTCCTTAGGATGCCAGATAAAATACTTTTTGTCTGAGATACAAATCATCACTGTGATTACAAAATTAGGGATTTTAGTTCTATCATTTTAAATGGCAATAACCTGGGCGGCTTGGAGATTTTGGATTAAAAAATCAATTTTTTACTTCATCGCCAACCACGTACGTGCATAATAAAACAGTGCATATATAATACTGCAGCAGAGTGGCAATTTCTTGCCAGAAAAACTCGTATTTTGGGGCCCTGATGTTGAAAAAGTTAATAAATCTTATTCCCCGACAAACTCAAGTCCCTACACACTCGGAACGGTTATTCTGAGTTTTGGATCTACATGCTTCTCTTTTACTTCAATTTACATGAAGCCTCCACATTTTCAGAACTTTCTCAAACATGTCTCCATTGTTCTCTTTGATAGAACAAAGTATGCTTACAAAAATGGTCCAGGTCTCATTCTTGTTGAACTCTCAACTTTTGAACATTGCAAAAGCTTCATACTCAGGAGGTAAAAAATCTATCTGCAATAATGTAGTTGTAGGAAGATCCAGTAAAAATTCTGACCTGTAATTTTAAAAAATTCCGAGATTTAAACAAAAATTAAACTCACTGCATTTTTTTAAGTGTTCTATACACTACCTGAAGAAAATGACTATATTTCGTGCTATTTTTGAGAAAAATTTGAAAATATTGAGGCTTGTATACCCCCAAAATCAAAATATCCTTTTAAATAAACAAAACTTCACAGTTCATCCAGATTGATTGGGAAATTTGAATTTTGGAAACAATCCTCAAAATGGTTTACAAACTAGCTTTGACCACAGAATTTATTGAAAGACATTAATTTAATACCATAGGAACACTATTTCCCTACTTCAATATCAGGGCCCCCACAATAGTCTTTTTTTGTCAAAAAGTTCTCGATTTCACCAGCAGGATTACAATACTTTCCCTATACGATGCAAGTACATAGTAAGGCAAGAAAGTAAAAAGAGATACAATAACGTTAATGGATAAATTACTGGTTGCTGAAGGCAGATGCAGTGAAGAGAAGGGCACTTTTTATATATTTTTTGAACTTGTCTATTTGCTTTTATATAATTTTTGTACTTTTCTTTGAAATTGTATAATTGTATTATCTTTTTTCATATTTGTGTGTATAGCATGTTACAGTTTTCATTTATGTACTTCTTTTTATTAACTGCTACCGAGCAAATTGCACATTAGCAGTAATAAATTATGTTTAATACGACAAAATAACCAAAACAACTTTGATAAAGTCTTATTGTTATTATTAATGCTTTGATATTTTATTGATAAAGCCTGAAAACGTGAATCTCTTTTCAAGAACAATGATATTTGGACAGAATCCCCCCCCTCTCCCCAATTATACTGATTTTTCTGGAAAAAAATCTCCAGAATACACAGGTTATCTGATCCTATCCGATTTAATTGTAAACTTATTTTCCTTACTTTTTCATTATCACAGGTAAAAAAAATTGTATTTTAACAAAACCCCTAGTGTTCCTATAAAAAAATCTGACTTCAGCAGAACCATTTTTGAGAAAGGTTACCAAGTTCCAATAAGCCACCAATAAGGTTGAGATAATTTATCTTCTTTGGATAAAATAAATCTTATCTTTCTGGCATACATTAATACTAACAAAATAAGGAAATCAATTCATCACAATACAGAGAAATAGGCAAATTAAATAATAAAACATGTTCCACTTTGAGCATATTCAATGTAATACATAAACTAAACATATTACAATTTTTTTAAATAAAACAAACAAATTGGAAGAACACCGTCATTATCACCACAAAGTATTCCATATTTTTTTCAAGTCCTATTCAAACATCTGAACATACAACGGCAAATGCATTTCTAACTGGTCTTCTGGGAACACAAATCAAGTTTATTAAGTTATACACAAAAGGAATACTCCTCTTATTACAGGACTCTAATACATTAATGACCTGCGAAATTCACCCATTTTATGGGATATTTCTGCAAGTAAAAGCACAAATCTGCTTTAATTTCATGGGACAATGCAGCACCAAGCGCAGGTACAAGGAGATTATAGAAAAGAAAGACAATTTTCACACAAAAACACTTTTTCGTACACAAATTTCACAATACATCACTAGTAGTTTATAAAATCGGATGAGTAGCAAGAAAATAGCTACCCATGACAAACAGAACAAATTCACAGATCAGGCCTTGTAACAAGGTCTTTGTAATATTCAAGGATTAAATATAAAATCCAATGGAATGCAAATCCTTTAAAATAATCATGACATTAAATCTTCCATGCAAGTTTGACATACACATGAGCACACAACTCTTCTGAACCTCTGAATTTCTTGCATACATTTTCATCTAGCAAAACATACATTCCAAAAACATTCATCACAATATCAGCTTTGAGAATACATCATAAGAAGTATCCATAATTGTTTATTTCAATAAAAATACAAATAAAATCTATAATCTTTCCTTACATAGATTTTATTTTTCCCTCTTTTTTTAAAAAGTTTGTATGCAAGGAAATTAAAAATGCACAAAAACTAACAGGATGGGATTTGCAATTCATAACATTAAAATCAAACAAATATACAAATTAATATCTATGCAAGGAAAGTGCATGGAAGAAGAAATACATCAATGTCTTTCCTCACACAATTACAAATTTCAAATCCCATTGAAATAGACCTACATATTAAATAATTTCTTTGCATGCAAACATTTTTCCTCAGGACACATTTACAAACATTCACCATATTTCACCAATGCAAATACTACCAAGTAGAATACTCCTTTGCACGGTCAACAAAACCTCAATGAAACATCCAATTTGCAACAATTACTCTTTTTAAAAATCACACCTGCCTGGTGATCTTCAGCATCTTCTCAATTTCTCACAAATCTGTTGAAAATAAAAGAATTACCTCAAAACAAATAACTTCACCTTGATACATTAATTTTACCTAATTATACTTCATGGATGTACCCCACATGCTCTCCTTAGATTTTAACATTTGTAGGACTTGGGCGAGGTACGTGGGAAACGTGTGATGTTCATGGTGACTGATGTTTATGGAAACAGTGTTTAGTGTGTGGCGACCATGTGAGGTGTGTAGTGACCATGTGTGTAAGTGTGTGTATTAGCACATGTCGGACATGGTGTTATACCCTCTTTATTTCTATAGGAGAGTTTTCACTACCTACAAAAGTTTTGAAATCATTTGAATGAAGAAAGAGGTCAGGATTACTTTCTTTTGACAGTAAAATTTTAACTTACCAATTTCTTTAATTCTTGTTTCGACCACGTTTCTTCCTGGTGGGTGCATTAATGATGGTATTCTCCATTTTCTTTCTTGCATCCTCATCTTTTATGGCAACCTGTCTCTCAATCTTCATCTACAAGGATAAGGTGGTAATATAAACAATTATTCACATAACACAATCTTATTTCTGAAAAAAACAATGCAAGTACCTGCTTGGCTGGTTTTTCATCAGTGATTGGATTTGGGCGTTTGTTCCTCTTCTTCACAAGTTGGACGTTAGATTTAGTTCCATTTGTAACATTTTTGGGAGCAGGTTCAGACTTTTCAGCAGTTTTACGTTTAGGTAGAAGGTCTTGAAAAAACTGAATTCTGTCCTCCCTGAACACACAGAGAAATGCACAATAACATTAATCACAATAATACTGTACTGGAGTCTACATGAAAATACTCGGGTGATTTACTCTGATAGTCAACTGATACAAATCTCTCTTGAATAAATAAATCATCATCAGGATTATTTTTATATGGTAGTGCTATCATCTAATATTAAAGTCAACTAAACTAAGTGTTACTTTAAAACAGAATTATTTTATTGGCATCAATTTACTAGAAGATATGTTTTGCAACAATGTGACCTCATCACCAGGTGGTCGGTACTATTAGAAAATATAGTGTCATAAAATATAATACTAAATAGACCACCTGTTTGGTCTCATTTTAAATTTATTAGTAATATATCTATGATGCCATTTTCCTAAAGTTTCTTTCAGAGCTATTCTGCAAAAGCAAGAAATTCAACAATCTAGATGCTCTAAAGAAGGCTTAAAGATTGACATCAGAAATTGCATTACTCACATTATAGCAGAATGAATATTTAATTTGATTTGATTTATTCAGTCAAGACACACACAGTAAAAATCAAAAGTAATGTATCGAGGAGATTATCTGAGCATGTTTTCTTGAGCTCAAGAAGCACCTCCCAACTTTTACAGAAAATTCATTTGCACCAGTAAACAAACTGCAATTTGATTTTTCTGCATAGATAACAAAATATTAACTCACCCCCACCTCTACTCCTATACTACAAGCAAAAGGAGAGCTCAACAAAACAGGCGCATAGTGAAGCTACACTTAGAGAAAGATTACAAACAGAAAATATATATAAGAAATAATAATAAATATATATAAGAAAATATCTCAATAATAAACTACATGGTCTAAAGTACAAAACCTGTCTTAATCACATAAGTAATCAAAGCACAAGAGAAGGGAATTTGCCTCCCTGGTTTCCCTGGGGGAATTATAGCACAGGAAATTATATTTGGCATTTCAGTCATATATAATGCTCCAATGAGTTGGCCTTAACTGTTAGTGAGCTATTTAGAACACTGCAGGTAACTTATTTGTTTTCAACTTTTGGCTTTCTTCCTGTGAAGGTGGACATCTTAACACTAACAAGGAACTCACAACATTGTATAATCAAATTTTACACAATTGTGTTACAAAAAAATTTCAGATACTGTACAAGTAAAACTTTAAGTACCAACATTGGTTTCTATACAGTAAACTTTCACCCTGCCAGTGAAAGAGGAAGACTTAAGATTTTCAAAACTTAAATATCCCTCTTCTATATTCGTAACAAATGAAAGTTAATGACACAAACAAACAGGATATGCTTGATTTGTTTACATCCACTCCAAGTGTACAGCACACATATTTCTGTGATCTGCGGGTAGGAACTGGATGACATAAAGAAGAAGAAAACTGAATGTACTTCATATATATATTTGAAACGGCAACATTAAGTTAATATTTTTTAAACAAGTTAATATTGTTTTTATGTCCACCTTTCTTTAGAACGGCGTCTACCAGATTGGTCAGAGATACCACAAGATGTAACAAGAGTAATGTACAAAATTTTATTTTATTTGAGAAAAAATATTTCTGTGCTCAAAGACAGTTACCAGCTAACAAGGAAAAATTTCAAAATCTAAGCGAAGGGCAAATAATATTTGATGTACCCTGAATGATTATTCTTGTTACATGTTCATACAGATACATTAATCAAAACTGATTTGCAAAAAGGAAAAAGAAGAGGAGGTCCTCCATTATTCTGTATAGAAGAAATGCAAGGCGTCACTATCTCGCAAAATTCATGAGAAATTTTTAACACAGAACCTTTTACAATGTGCAGTGACACATGAACGAAGCAACCACTGTTTGTACCATGGAAAAGTTGTCTTTAGAGGGGTGATTGCTTAGTAGGGTAATCATTTGTGTGTGTGT